TGGGTAGGCCTCCCAGCAGGTGGGTAGGCCTCCCAGCGGCAGGTGGGTAGGCCTCCCAGCAGGTGGGTAGGCCTCTCCGGGGCACAGTGTGGTGAGCAGTGTGTGTGAACAGTGTGTGTGAACAGTGTGGTGAGCAGTGTGTGTGAACAGTGTGTGTGAACAGAGTGGGGAGCGTTTGTGGTGAGTGTGTGGTGTGGTGAGTGTGTGGTGAGTGTAGTGTGGTGTTTGTGAGTGTGGTGTGTGTGGTGTGTGTGTGGTGAGTGTGTGGTGAGCGTATGTGGTGAGTGTGTGGTGTGTGTTTGTGGTGTCTGTGGTGTGTGTTTGTGGTGAATGTGGTGTGTGTGTGGTGAGTGTGGGGTGTGTGGTGAGCGTGGTGAGTGTGGTGAGTGTGGTGAGCGTGTGTGTGGTGAGTGTGGTGAGTTTGGTGGTGGTGTGGGGTGTGGTAGTGGTGGTGTGGTGGTGGTGTGGGGTGTGGTAGTGGTGGTGTGGGGTGTGGTAGTGGTGGTGTGGGGTGTGGTGGTTTGGGGTGTGGTGGTGTGGGGTGTAGGGGAGGTGGTGTGGTGGTTTGGGGGAGGTGGTGTGGGGTGTAGGGGAGGTGGTGTGGTGTGGTAGTGGTGGTGTGGTGGTGGTGTGGGGTGTGGTGGTGTGGGATGTGGTGGTGGTGTGGTGGTGGTGTGGTGGGGTGTGGTGGTGTGGTGGTGGTGTGGGGTGTGGTGGTGTGGGGTGTGGTGGTGGTGGTGGTGTGGTGGGGTGTGGTGGTGTGGGGTGTGGTGGTGGTGGTGTGGGGTGTGGTAGTGGTGGTGGTGTGGTGGTGTGGGGTGTGGTGGTGGTGGTGTGGGGTGTGGTGGTGGTCGTGTGGGGTATGGTGGTGGTGGTGTGGTGGTGGTGTGGGGTGTGGTAGTGGTGGTGTGGGTGTGGTGGTGTGGGGTGTGGTGGTGGTGGTGTAGGGGAGGTGGTGGTGGTGGTGGTGTGGGGCGTGGTGGTGTGGGGTGTGGTGGTGTGGGGTGTGGTAGTGGTGTGGGGTGTGGTGGTGGTGGTGTGGGGTGTGGTGGTGGTGGTGTGGTGGTGGTGGTGTGGAGTGTATGGGTGGTGGTGTTCTTTGTGTTTGAGCGGGGAATGTTTTCTCGTGTGGTAGTGGTGGTGTGGTGGTGGTGTGGGGTGTGGTGGTGTGGGATGTGGTGGTGGTGTGGTGGTGGTGGTGTGGTGGGGTGTGGTGGTGTGGTGGTGGTGTGGGGTGTGGTGGTGGTGGTGTGGGGTGTGGTGGTGGTGGTGGTGGTGTGGTGGGGTGTGGTGGTGTGGGGTGTGGTGGTGGTGGTGTGGGGTGTGGTAGTGGTGGTGTGGTGGTGTGGGGTGTGGTGGTGGTGGTGTGGGGTGTGGTGGTGGTCGTGTGGGGTATGGTGGTGGTGGTGTGGTGGTGGTGTGGGGTGTGGTAGTGGTGGTGTGGGGTGTGGTGGTGTGGGGTGTGGTGGTGGTGGTGTAGGGGAGGTGGTGGTGGTGTGGGGCGTGGTGGTGTGGGGTGTGGTGGTGGTGGTGGTGTGGGGTGTGGTAGTGGTGTGGGGTGTGGTGGTGGTGGTGTGGGGTGTGGTGGTGGTGGTGTGGTGGTGGTGGTGTGGAGTGTATGGGTGGTGGTGTTCTTTGTGTTTGAGCGGGGAATGTTTTCTCGTGCCAGGACGTACTTCTGTGGACCGCCGTTCGCTTCGTTGGGATTTCGATTTTACGATTCTGGTGGTTTGGTTGTGGTGGTGGTGAGTTTGAATGGTTTTAAGATCGCTAACTTGGTTGAACACAGGCACATAGTGTAGAATTGTTGTTAGATTGTTGAATGTGTGTAAAGTGTGTTTTGGTGTTACCTCAGGATATTCATAATGAATGGTCATTCAGTCCATGCTTATTTAATCCATTTAAAATGCAGTTAGACTGCAGTAGTTACGTTGCATCATGGATATGTTGGTTAATATCTGATGCGGAAAGTGACTGATGGATACAGCAGACTCAGCCAAATTTGTGGATTCTTTAATTCTCAGATTTTGACGTGAATTAACAACTCGTGGATTTTCGCCTCCTCGGCCAAAATGTGTAAATCTAACAACAGTGAAACCAACATTGGCGTTCTTGAAAATCGTAATGGTAATGAAATTTAATAATAATAGAATACGACGTTTCAATTGCAACACAAACAACCATCATCAGGTACAAATGAATGAGAACAAACATAGTAAACTTGGAAATATAATGCAATATAACACAGAGTCGGCCAACAAAACAATCAACGCCCCACCTGGTTGATTACGTTCTTCCAAAGATTGATAAATTTGAGAGAGACAAAACATAGACACGTGGACACACAAGCAGAGAGAGAGACAACACAGAAACACACAGAGAGAGACACACAACATAGACACACAGAGAGAGACAATACAGAGACACAGAGAGAGACACACAACATAGACACACAGACAGGCACACAAGCAGAGAGAGACAACACAGAGACACAGAGAGAGACACACAACATAGACACACAGACAGGCACACAAGCAGAGAGACTCACACAGAGACACACAGAGACACACAACATAGACACACAGACAGACACAAGCAGAGAGAGACAACACAGAGACACACAACATAGACACACAGACAGACACACAGGCAGAGAGAGACTCACACAGAGACACACAGAGAGAGACACACAACATAGACACACAGACACACAGAGAGAGACTCACACAGAGACACACATAGAGTGACACAACATAGATACACAGACAGACACACAAGCAGAGAGAGACAACACAGAGACACACAGAGAGAGACACACAACATAGACACACAGATACACAAGCAGAGAGAGACAACACAGAGACACAGAGAGTGACACACACAACATAGACACACAAGCAGAGAGAGACAACACAGACACACAAGCACAGAGAGAGAGACTCACACAGAGACAAACAGAGAGAGACACACAACATAGACACACAGACAGACGCACAAGCAGAGAGAGACTCACACAGAGACACAGAGAGAGACAGACAACATAGACACACAGACAGACGCACAAGCAGAGAGAGACTCACACAGAGACACAGAGAGTGACAGACAACATAGACACACAGACAGACACACAAGCAGAGAGAGAGACTCACACAGAGACAAACAGAGAGACACACAACATAGACACACAGACAGACACACAAGCAGAGAGACTCATACAGAGACAAACAGAGAGAGACACACAACATAGACACACAGACAGACACACAAGCAGAGAGAGACAACACAGAGACACACAACATAGACACACAGACAGACACACAGGCAGAGAGAGACAACACAGACACACAGAGAGAGACACACAACATAGACACATAGACAGACACACAAGCAGAGAGAGATTCACACAGAGACAAACAGAGTGAGACACACACAACATAGACACACAGACAGACACACAAGCAGAGAGAGACAACACAGAGACACACAGAGAGAGACACACAACATAGACACACAGACACACAAGCAGAGAGAGACAACACAGACACACAAGCAGAGAGAGACTCACACAGAGACACACAGAGAGTGACACACAACATAGACACACAGACAGACACAGAGAGAGAGAGACTCACACAGAGACAGAGAGAGAGACAACCAAGAGCTTTAATAGCTCTTTAAACCCCTCCCACTGCTCCCGCAGTCTAAACACAACAAGACTCCCAAGGCCTCTGGTGACATCAAAAATTATTTAATAACGAGACGAACAAACTAGCTACAGAGCGAAGCCTCGGGCCTACGCGTTGGGCCTTGCGTGGCCCATTAATGGGTGCTCGACTCGAATGTGCGGACGTTTCACTGACTGAACGCAACATTGAAAGCAGCATTGAGAATCTTCACTTGAAGCTTTCGTGGCAACTGCAGGGATCCACGCTCTCAAAGTCATCACGTGGTAGGTGTATAAAATACATCACCACGTTTCCATCGCGACACAAGCAACCGTCATCAGGCGGAACAGGTACAGTTCAACTGATGGGGGGTCGCTTGTGTTGCGACAGAAACGTCGTGATTTATTTTATTTTGTCCCCACGTCACTTGACCGAAAGAACCTTGAAGAATGTTCTTGGTTCTTTCTACACGTGAATATGTGTAAGCTGTTACACATATACACGTGTAAGCTGTTACACGTGTAACAGCTTACACGTGTATATGTGTAAGCTGTTACACATGTATATGTGTAAGCTGTTACACATGTATATGTGTAAGCTGTTACACATGCATATGTGTAAGCTGTTACACGTGTAACAGCTTACACGTGTATATGTGCATCTACATTCACTTCGTCACTTCCCAAGACTGACACCGTACACCTTAAAATCAACGCACTCTTATTAACGCTTTCCCATGCCACCCATTGCATTGTCCCACAGAGTTAGAAATGTAATAACTCGCACATGTAAGTACGCCTTAAAATCACCGCAATCTTTGACCCTTCCACCCGTTGCAATAAGCGCTCCACAGAGTTCTAAATGTAATAGCTCCCAAATGTAGAAACTGTTAACGCGTGTAAACTTTGCGTACCATCCGGTTAAAGCAAAGATTACAGAACAGTCTTAAAACTTCACTTCCTTCACTTTCCAAGTCTGACATCGTACGCCTTCAAAACCACCACACTGATCATTATTAATTAACCCTTTCACATTCCGGAAACCCCCCAAAAAAAAGGCTGCTCTATGGGTGGAGGCCGGTGGCCAAGTGAAATTGCCCTCCCCGTGCCTCCCTGCGCGAAAAAACGAACGCCGAACGCTCGCCAGCGACCGGCTTATGCCTCGGCACGGGAGAGGGGAGGGGTTAATCAACGAACTCGCCCCGACGGTCGCAGCCACGGGCGGTCGGGATCCCCGGCGGTCGTTTCTCTCTCCTCCTCCTTCGCCCGGCCGTTCGCCTAAACCACGAAGGCCCGGAGCGACGTCTTCACGGCGACACGGCACACGGGACACCGGCTCAGGGAGAGGGCGCAGTGGCCGCACGTGGCCACGTGTCCGCACGGCACGAACATCGTGGACACCTCGCGCTCCATGCACACCTTGCAGGACAGCCGCTCTTCCAGCTTGTCCAGAAGCTCCTCAGTCGATGGCGCTGCTGTGGACAAAAGCGCGCGCAGACGCACGCGGAGACGCACGCGGAGACACACGCGGAGACACACAGAGACACACAGACACACGTGCAGACACACAGAGACACACAGAGACACACAGAGACACACAGAGACGCACGGAGACACACGCGCGCACGCACAGACGCAAGCGCACACACACACAGACGCACACACAGGCACACCAGCACACACTTTCAGCGGTTTCAAAAAGTGATGGTCGATCATCACCAGACTGCTTACATATGGGGCGCAAAGTTGGCGAGATGTTGACCACCTCGTCTGGTATACATGAGGTCGTGACTCTCACCTGTATCAGACTCTCACCTGTATCAGACCCTCACCTGTATCAGTCTCTCACCTGTATCAGTCTCTCACCTGGTTCAGTCTCTCACCTGTATCAGACCCTCACCTGTATCAGACTCTCACCTGTATCAGACCCTCACCTGTATCAGACCCTCACCTGTATCAGACCCTCACCTGTATCACCCTCACCTGTATCAGACCCTCACCTGTATCAGTCTCTCACCTGTATCAGACCCTCACCTGTAACAGACCCTCACCTGTATCAGGTGAGGGTCTGATACAGTGCGCAGGGATCCGTCGTCTTACCGTGCTCAATCTCCGCGGTTGTACTCTGCGGCGTCTGTCCCGGTAGCGGAGCCTTTGAACCGACAAATAAAGATGAACATCGTCGCGTGTAAGAATCATCGCCGGTGTCACGCAGAAGAACCGACAAAAATGGATAAGTTACGCAAGCGACGACCGCTCGCGTTGAAAACGATCGCGACTTTTTGCACCGTTACTCTGCGCTCGATTTGCAATCGGCGTGTCGGCAAACCAAACGGAACGACAAGAGCCGGCTCTCGATTGTCGCCGCTAACGACGGGGGGCAGGGCAGCTGCAGACGGCTCAAAATCGCGCAGCATCCAAAAAGATAAAATAAAAAAAATTTCCGTGGATCTCTACGCCAAAAACACCGATTATCCCCATAGTTATATATATAGTTATAGAGTACATTCAATCTGGCTGTCGCCTGATGAAGCTCGTTGTTGTTGTAATTACTGGTGAAACGTCGTACTCAGATTCTAAATGTTGTGGCTTGGCTCTCCAACACACCGCTGTGAGCTGTACTAGTATTATACACTATACACTACTATACTATTATACACTACTATACTATACACTACACTATACACTACACTATACACTACTACACTATACACTACTATACACTATACACTACTACACTATTATACACTACTATACTATACACTACTATACTATACTATACACTACTATACACTACTACACTATGCATTATTACACTATACACTACTACACTATACACTATTATACACTATACACTACTATACTATACACAACTATACTATACACTACACTACTATACACTACTACACTATGCACTACTACACTATACACTACTATACTATACACACTACTATATTTACAATAAGCATATTGGTAATAAAACCACATTATTTTTGTATTTTTACCCCTGAATGATGAACAACATTTCAAGCTGCCTGCGAAGTTTAAGTTTGAGTCTATTTGTGTTCAAGACCGCTGATAAACTCCATCAAGAGACGAGGCTGGTCTCGTCTGTTCAACGACCGGAGTTGACCAAGGTCAACGTTAAAAAACTAAACAAAAAATCGTACGTGCGGCGTGTTCGCACGCCGGCGTTAAACTCGATTCTCCTGCGAAACCAAAAGTTGGCGAGAAAATGTTTTGTTACCGGCGGCCGCGTCGACCCGCGGACGAAAGCTTCCCCCTTCTGTCGTCCAACAAACACGCAGCTGTTCAGCAAACGACGCGGGAAGAGAGGCGGGGGGAGGGGGGTCATTATTTTACACCGGCTGGGTACAATGTGGTGGATGTATTGGGGAGCATGTCACCATTATTATTATTTATATTATGATCTTATAGTGAGATGGTTGTATTGGGGAACACATTATATCTATTATTTTATCGCGTTTATTATGATTTTGTTATTATCTTATAATGCGATGGATGTGTTGGGGAACACATAATTATTTAATATTTACAGTGAGGGAAAAAAGTATTTGATCCCCTGCTGATTTTGTACATTTGCCCACTGACAAAGAAATGATCAGTCTATAATTTTAATGGTAGGTTTATTTGAACAGTGAGAGACAGAATAACAACAACAAATCCAGAAAAACGCATGTCAAAAATGTTATGAATTGATTTGCATTTTAATGAGGGAAATAAGTATTTGACCCCTCTGCAAAACATGACTTAGTACTTGGTGGCAAAACGCTTGTTGGCAATCACAGAGGTCAGACGTTTCTTGTAGTTGGCCACCAGGTTTGCACACATCTCAGGAGGGATTTTGTCCCACTCCTCTTTGCAGATCTTCTCCAAGTCATTAAGGTTTCGAGGATGACGTTTGGCAACTCGAACCTTCAGCTCCCTCCACAGATTTTCCATGGGATTAAGGTCTGGAGACTGGCTAGGCCGCTCCAGGTCCTTAATGTGCTTCTTCTTGAGCCACTCCTTTGTTGCCTTGACCGTGTGTTTTGGGTCATTGTCATGCTGGAATACCCATCCACGACCCATTTTCAATGCCCTGGCTGAGGGAAGGAGGTTCTCACCCAAGATTTGACGGTACATGGCCCCGTCCATCGTCCGTTTGATGCGGTGAAGTTGTCCTGTCCCCTTAGCAGAAAAACACCCCCAAAGCATAATGTTTCCACCTCCATGTTTGACGGTGGGGATGGTGTTCTTGGGGTCATAGGCAGCATTCCTCCTCCTCCAAACACGGCGAGTTGAGTTGATGCCAAAGAGCTCCATTTTGGTCTCATCTGACCACAACACTTTCACCAAGTTGTCCTCTGAATCATTCAGATGTTCATTGGCAAACTTCAGACGGGCATGTATATGTGCTTTCTTGAGCAGGGGGACCTTGTGGGCACTGCAGGATTTCAGTCCTTCACGAGGTAGTGTGTTACCAATTGTTTTCTTGGTGACTATGGTCCCAGCTGCCTTGAGATCATTGACAAGATCCTCCCGTGTAGTTCTGGGCTGATTCCTCACCGTTCTCATGATCATTGCAACTCCACGAGGTGAGATCTTGCATGGAGACCCATGCCGAGGGAGATTGACAGTTTTTTGTGTTTCTTCCATTTGCGAATAATCGCACCAACTGTTGTCACCTTCTGACCAAGCTGCTTTGCAATGGTCTTGTAGCCCATTACAGCCTTGTGTAGGTCTACAATCTTGTCCCTGACATCCTTGGAGAGCTCTTTGGTCTTGGCCATGGTGGAGAGTTTGGAATTTGATTGATTGCTTCTGTGCACAGGTGTCTTTTATAGGTAACGAGCTGAGATTAGGAGCACACTCTTAAAGAGTGTGCTCCTAATCTCAGCTCCTAATCTCAGCTTGTTACCTGTATAAAAGACACCTGGGAGCCAGAAAACTTTCTGATTGAGAGGGGGTCAAATACTTTTTTCCCTCATTAAAATGCAAATCAATTTATAACATTTTTGACATGCGTTTTTCTGGATTTTGTTGTTGTTATTCTGTCTCTCACTGTTCAAATAAACCTACCATTAAAATTATAGACTGATAATTTCTTTGTCAGTGGGCAAACGTACAAAATCAGCAGGGGATCAAATACTTTTTTCCCTTACTGTATATATATAAATTTCACGGGCGCAGCAGGTGCCAAACGCCTCACCTGGGAAACCACTTTGCGTGCTCATGCCAAGCGCTGTCTCCCAGCGCCCACTCTTGTAGATGACCGTCGCAGCTGAAGCACTTCACAAGATCTCCGTAACCTACTCAAAATAGAAAACACGTTACAGGGACCTCTCCCCTACTTATCGACACTGTCGACTTTTCAGAGATAAACAAACCCATCCAGTTGCCCGTTCGGACCGAGAGTCCTAAGTTCAACCGCCTCACAATAGTTGGAGGTGGTGGCATCAACATCTGCAGAACGTGAAAAACCAGTGGCATTTACATCTACAGAACGTGAAGAACCAGTGGCATTTACAGCTACAGAATGTGAAGAACCCAGTGGCATCAACATCTGCAGAACGTGAAGAACCAGCATCATCTACATCTACAGAATGTGAAGAACCAGTTGCATCTACATCTACAGAATACGAAAAACCAGTGGCATCTACATCTACAGAACGTGAAGAACCAGCGTCATCTACATCTACAGAACGTGAAAAACCAGTGGCATCTACATCTACAGAACGTGACGAACCAGTGGCATCTACATCTACAGAACGTGACGAACCAGTGGCATCTACATCTACAGAACGTGAAGAACCAGTGGCATCTACATCTACAGAACGTGACGAACCAGTGGCATCTAAATCTTCAGGAGATTATACAACTTGTAAAGGCATTCCCCGTGTTTCGTGTACACACTCTACAACACGTTTGGAACCGACAGGACTTCGCACTCCTATCGTGTTTTTGTAAACCGTTCGTTGCCGTGACGTTCTTACCCCCCGTGCCCGGACTGGACATCATGCGAAAAAGAGCTTCACAGCTCAATGGATTCCTCCAGTATAGATAAATATTCTGATTCTGACCTCCCTCAGGTGTTTGACCAAAACTATTAACCAACATTGATACTATTTTATGATACCAGGTGTTAGGACCATTGAGTTGCTATTTAGCTCTTTTTCAGAGGTGACCACCTGGCTATCACAAACGATAGCTCAACGAAGTGGCTTATCGCATGAGAATTTAAATGCAGCCAAATACTCTAAACGCGTGTTTCTAAATGTGCAAGGAAAAAACCGGAGGACCGGCAGAAAAAATCCACGCGACCACGGGGAGAGAGGCACGAAAATTCCAAATACACATCAGGCGTCAGGATGGAACCCACCACCTCCTGCCTTCCAGGCGAGGTAGCCAACATCTCCGAGCCACCGTGGCGCTTGCCCCCAAAGAGCCGCCCCTCCCCCCACAAAACGGGGACGACTACAGCGCCGGGGAAGGCCGGCCTCCACCCACTTCTACGCAGCGGCAGCAGCAGCACAAACCGTACCGGAATAGTAGAAGCCTGCGTAGGCCAGTTCAGGCGGGGACACATTGGCGGTGTACGGCCAGCTCGCGAAAGATCTGAGTCGCGCCCCGAACGAACGCATCTCTGGACTCAGTCCGGAGTCGGCGCGATCCTGAGTGGCCGGCGGCAACGGGGCCTGCGGGGAAAAGGCGCCACCCAGGGACAAACGCAACGACGACAACGGTGACGACGATGACGACTGCGACGGCAGCGTCGACGGCGACGACGGTGACGCAGTGAGCTCATCGAATTGTCCCCGCCCTTTGGAAAGGCTCCCCAGGAAGCCGTGAGGGCATTGGAATCGTTTTTTTTTAAACGACATCTTCGAAACAAAACCTTTTTAGACTGGCCTAAAAAGGTTAAGTCATTTACATGACTTAATACGATTACATCTCCATAACTAGCATAACTTATGCGCATAATTACATCAATTAACGTTATTTCGGATAATTACGCATTTTTCCAAATTTCATTTCATTTTTATTATTTTTATTAAAATTTTCAAGACCCGGCATATACAACAGGTGGGGGAATTTATAGAGAAGATAACATTACAGTAGAATCTTGATTTGAATTACAGTACACTCTGGATGATCCGCGCGCGGTTTGTTCGATTTGCAGATGAACCGCACACCTGAGATTTTGACGGAGATTAAGAACTCGTGGATATTCCCCTGAAGTCCACCTGAAGATGACCGTTTGAGTTATGGTCGAAACGTCGTGAGAATTTTTATTGTTTTATATATATTATTTTGTTGTTTCTCTTCAACGTGACTTTACCGAAAAAACTAAGAATATAATCTAAAAACAGTTTATACAACAATGGTTAATTCTTGGACATTTTTATTACAAGTCACGTGGCGCTTTAACCGAACAAATACGTTGCCCCGGTTAATCCGAAATCCACGTGACCACCTCTACGGCACGGCAGCTGCAACGTCTTTACAACGGTGGGCAGAGTTTAATTGATTTTGTTGCCGTGGCTCTGCTGTCAAATGAGCGAGCCGACTCTTCAGCGCGGGGAGCGGGAAAGTCTCATCATTGAACATGGTTATAGGCACAAAGCATTGAAGAACTGAGACTCATCTACAAGGGCGCAGCGGTAGCCAGGAGATGTGAACGACCTCGCCTGGTATGCAGGAGGTCATGGGCTCGAAACCCGACCCTGACACCTGCTTCTGCCTATTTGGAGTTTCCGTCTCTCTCTCTCTCTGTTCCCCCCGTGGTCACCACGTGCGAGGGTATTCGGCAAATATAAATGTCCACGCAACGATGCTGAGCCCGCTTCGCTGAGCAACGTCGCTGCTTTGCGTGACGGAGAGGGTCGGCATCTGAAACAAATAGCTACGTCATCGCAGCGCTGAGTAGGGCCCTCGCCAGGTCAAGAATAACTGTGTTAGCACAGGGTGCTTACAAAGAAATGTTCACACTTGTTTTTGGACTATCGTTTTTTTAATATAACACGAATCTGACCGCGAATGCGCGTCAATGGATTCAACGAGCCAAAGGGTCTCCGCTCGTTCGCCATCGTCGTCTAAACACGCCTAGAATTATCTCCAATCGGTACCCAGAACCCCGAGGCACATCTCTTCGTGCCAATCGTTGCAAATTCTCAGGGGCACCCCGCACTAGTTTTAGGATAGACCCGGCCTCGCCCCCCCAAAACAAGCGTCAGGACGTCACCGGCGCCGTCGCTGGCGTCACCCACCGCGCGAGCGCAGGCGGGGAAGTGCCTGGCGTGCTCCCGAGCGGGGTCGTCCCCCTCCTCCCAGCGATGCATCATCCCGCCGCAGCGGAAGCAGGCCACCAGGTCGCTGAAGCCCATGCGGTAGAGTCCGGCCCGCGCCAAGTCCGCGGGCCGCACGGGGGACGACCGGGGCCACCCCTTGGAGAACGACAGCAGCCTGGCCGATTCGCTCTGCATCTTCGAGGCCGACGGTCGCGGGATCCGGTCGAAGCGGGGCATCGGGGGGGCGGAGCGTCTCGCCGCCGCCGACGCCCTGCGGGAGGCCCGAAAGTCTACGACGTTCGGCATCGACCCGGCGGAAAAATACGGGGCGATTTGGGGTGAAAAGAATGCTTTTGCGAGGGACGAGTCCGCCCGGGGGTCTCTTGTTAAAGATCGCTCAAGAAACGTCGAGGCCTTCTCCTCCTTTCAAGGCGTCGAAGGGATCCCGGGGCTCGTAGCTCGTAGCTCGACGGGTAGTTTAAAAACCGGCGATGGGAAATGGCACGACCCCTGTTGTCACCCTCGACGGCTCCTGAATGCGGGAACAAAAATGTTGGGGCGGCAAGCGTCATTAAAAACGGACATCTTTTAGTGATATTCTTAGCTCTTTCGGTAAAGTCACGTTGAAGGCAAACAATAAAATAATAAAATACATATAAAACAATAAAAATTCTCACGACGTTTCGACCATAACACAAACGGTCGTTATGTTATGGTCGAAACGTCGTGAGAATTTTTATTGTTTTGTATATATATTTTATTATTTTATTGTTTCCCTTCAACGTGACTTTGCCGAAAGAGCTAAGAATATGAATTACTGCAGTCACGAAAGCTTTAAATCAAAATAAAATATTTAAGTGACTTGAAATGTTTGGTTTAAACAATTCATCCATACACAAAGGCTTTTTGTGGGTTAGATCGCGTAAATATATTAATGTTAAACCCACCACCACCCGACACGGCCAACTGGTAAGGGTTGTCACGTAAACAGAACAATCTCTATTATGGATGATATTGGTCGCCAAAGCCTACGTGTTAAGAATTAAACAGTTCAGTCTGTCACTTCTGACAAACTCATGCACAGCAATAAAAGGGGGCACACACAGTCTGGATGGTCCTGTACCAAACGGAGTTTCGAGAGTTATCTGGTGTGAGAAAAACCAACACTACCCATAGACTCAGCACTGCACCATAGACTCAACACTACCCAAAGACTCAACACTAACCATAGACTCAACACTGCCCATAGACTCAATACTGCCCATAGACTCAACACTACCCATTGACTCAACACTACACCATAGACTCAGCACTGCACCATAGACTCAACACTGCACTATAGACTCAACACTGCACCATAGACTCAACACTACCCAAAGACTCAACACTACACCATAGACTCAACACTACCCATAGACTCAACACTGTACCATGGACTCAGCACTGCACCATAGACTCAACACTGCCCGATAGACTCAACACTACCCAAAGACTCAACACTGCCCATAGACTCAAAACTGCCCATAGACTCAACACTGCACCATAGACTCAACACTGCCCATAGACTCAGCACTGCACCATAGATTCAACACTGCATCATAGACTCAGCACTGTACCATAGACTCAACACTGCACCATAGACTCAACACTGCCCATAGACTCAACACTGCACCATAGACTCAACACTGCCCATAGACTCAACACTGCACCATAGACTCAACACTGCCCATAGACTCAACACTACACCATAGACTCAACACTGCACCATAGACTCAACACTACACCATAGACTCAACACTACACGATAGATTTCGATTTAAAGCTGTCGTGACTGCAGGGATTAATCTTCTTGGTTCTTTAGGTAAAATCACGTCGGTTCTCAACTAATTGTATTTTTACGGTGACCTCAGACCGCAGCTCTTTCGCTGGCACCGCCTCTTAACACCTCTCACAGCACGGTTAACGTTGTGGTTTGTAACGTGGAGTATAACAGCGCCTCGTGGCTGTTTCTCTCCCCCCCCTCCTCCGTCCCGAGGAGCGTGGATGGACTCGTCCGTGTGAACGGGGCCCGTCGCTGTCCGTGGTGCTGGAGGTGAGGGGAAGGATCCCACACACTCTGTGGTTCTATTCGGTAAAGTCACCACGTAGGTTAATTAAAATATAAAATAACAAAAATCACGACGTTTCGGCCACAGCACAGGCGGCCTTCATCAGGTGAAGGGACCCTGCTGTCATGATGAAGGCCGCTTGCGTTGTGGCCGAAACGTCGTGAGATTTTTGTTATTTTATTTTTGTTACCTACGTGACTTTACCGAATAGAACCAAAGAGTGTGGATCCTTGCAGTCACGAAAGATTCAAATCTAGTAGAAGAATCCACCCATTGTTTCGCCATATGGCATTGTGATATATAACGACTTATTGTTGGTGGCTCAGCTGGTTTGAGAGTATATAGAGTTTATTGATAACATTGAGGTATAGTAATATGTTTTACCCTTTTAACTGGCACAAAAACTGACACCTTTATTCAAGGCATCATATTCTTAGTTTTTTCGGTAAAGTCACGTTGAAGGGAAAATATAATATATATTTTATTATTTTGTTGTTTCCCTTCAACGTGACTTTACCGAAAAAACTAAGAATATGAATTACTGCAGTCACGAAAGCTTTAAATCAAAATTCAAGGCATCATGTTTGTAATAACCACAACACATGATGCCTTGAATAAAGGTGTCAGTTTTTGTGCCAGTTAAAAGAGTAAAACCTATTACTATATCTTGTTACTGGTAAAGGAGGTCTCATAAAACATTGAGGTAGTTTATATTTTAGTTTTTTATTGGTTTACTATATGGCATTCATTATATAGCGTAGTGTATACCCAGTTGCTCTGTGTTAATAGCTCAGCTTATTGAAGAATATACTGAGTACATTCATTATATTGATGTAATTTATACTGCGATTTTATCACATCGGTTTACTGCACGATAGTTGGGTTAGTTGCAGCCCCTTTAGCGTCCACAGACTCAACAACTGCTGCACCTGCAAATCGTCTGCAAATTTACAGTTCATTTATTTGGTATAGCCCTGTGAGCCATTTGGCTCTTGAATCGGGTGCAACTGCAACAAACAAAAAACATGAACAAGAAAACATCTTAAAGTGATTATGTGACTGTGCAAACAGAAAATACAGGAAAAAATATCAAAATATTCCTGAAATAGCACCGTACACCAACGCTGCGTGCAAAAATCCCAGTGGGATGCAAGTCAAAATAACAACAACAACCACAAGACAACTAAGATTAAGACCATCAGTCAACTCCGTACTACAATAAACAAAAACATGGCCAAAACAAAAAAAAACTTTTCGAAATCACCAAAATAAAAGCCATAAATCCAATGTAACAGTGATCATAGGGAGTGTGACCGAATTTTTTACAATTGTAGGGGTGCTATGGGGAATAAACACATGGCACGGGAAGGTGTGGTTCACCCACACCTTGGTGGCTACAACAACGTCCGCTAAGGCTCCAGTGGGTATAAAGTGCGGGGAGCCAGGGAGCTCGGGGCAGAGTGTGGGGCCCGAGGCTGAAGCAACCAGTGAAGAAAGAAGGCCAGCTAGGTGAGACCCTGGAACTCCTGTGACCGCTGCCCTTTTCAGGGCCGGCACAGCAAGCCAGTGGTGCGGCCCCAGAGCCCCAGAGTCAGAGTCCTTCTAAGGGCCGGTCTGGTCGGCGGGGTGCCGAGATCTGTGCCTAACCAGGGCCGGACCTGATAGCCTCCCTTAGAGCCCTACCAGGAGGAACTGGGAGCCTAGAGCTTAGGCTAGAGAGCCTGGGGTGTGTTCCTGAGTTATACGGGTGGAGGGGCCGCTACCCCTTCTAGTGTAACCCTTGTTAAGGTTTAAATAAATAGTGCTGCTTCTATTCTGCCGTCTCCGTGTCCTGGAACCCACTACAACTGGTGTCAGAAGTGGTCTTAAAATGGACACAAGGAGTACAAACCGATCACAGGAACCCCAGGAGGAGGACGGCTCGCCTGGAATTGCGCCAGAGGCCGCGGCCGACGATCCTGGGATGTCCCAGACGCCCCAACAGCAGCCGCCGCTGGAGGAGTGGCCGCCGATGGAGGACGGGTTGCAGGCGGCTCACTCTCGACTGGCTGAGCTGCTGTAGGCCGCGGCTTCCACGCTGGAGGAAATCAACCGCGCGGGGCTGCGGGCGCAAAGGCGGCAGAGAGACGAACGCCGTTCAACGGCCATTCCCGCCGAAACACAGCCACCAGATTTCGGATTTGCCGCCATGACAGTGTCCGCCACGGCGATTGGAGGATCGCAGCTCCACGTGGACGCTGTGGGCCAATCAGCGGTGGTGACGTCATCACCAACGGACGCCCGCTGTCAGGACCAATCGGCGGGCGCATCGTCATCACCTGCGCGACCGCCGATGGGTGTCCCCAGCCCCTCAAACACCGGTGGAGAGGCTGGAAATGGCGCGCGGCACCTCTCAGAGACGAAGCCATTGTTTCAACAACGCCTGCCGGTGTTGAAGGAGTTCGTTTCAGACGGCGGCGACTGGGGGGCCTTTCAACGCCGCTTTCTCGCTCATCAAGAGATAGCCGGCTGGACGGACAACGAGGCGTTGAGTGCGCTACCGGCCATGCTGGACGATGACGCCCTTGCTACGCTCATCACAGCTCCCAGATCAACGCGATCTACGCTACAGTCGGCGCTCCAGGTCCTCACCATAGTCTACGGGCCATCGTCGGACTGCCGCAAACTCTTCCACGAGCGGTGCAGGGGCCAGAAGGAGCCACCGCTGGCGTATCGCACGGCTCTCCTGGCCCCCGCAAAAGCGGCTTTCCCGCGGATGGACGGCGAAGGGGTGGACGCGATGGTGACGGAGAAGCTCCTGGCGTTGGCCCAGGAGCTACAGATCGTCATCGTCGCAGAGGACGACGCGGACATGTGCTCCTTGCGGGCAGCAAGACACATCCACGCGCACCTGATAGCGCAGCGTCGATCACCTCTCGTCCCCAAGGGCGCAGCTGCGGTGTGCGCTGGGACGCCGACCATCCCCCCCTCCGAGGAGGTCTTCGCGGCGGGTCGCCCGGTGGAGTGGAGATCCGGAGGGAGGCCGGCTCGGACCACACCGGATCGCCAGGAGCACCCCAAGGCGCTCATCACGTGCTACAACTGTGGCCGCAAGGGCCACGTGGCTGCGGAATGCCGGGCGCCTCGTCAACGACAGCCGGGACGGTCGGACGGCGCTCCAACCTACAGGCCTCCGCATCGCAACCCGGCAAGTCGCGGCACCCCACATGCTCGGCCTGTGCACACACCTGTCCCCACCTCGCGCGTTTCGGTGTACGGGCCTCGGGGTACGCCCATTGGTTTGTTGGGTGGCGGCGGGGTCGAGAGGGTGCTCGGGCCGGGGCAGT